CCAAGCCAGCTTTGGAAGCTAATTGGTCGACAGCGGAGGAATATGGACGCTCATTGGACGATACAACACACATATCTAAGCTCATTGGATGACTGGGTTATTCGGTGGCTAATAAATCATTAATTTTATGGTGTCGTAGGTCGTGTTATTTAATTATTAATCTAAGCCAAGCTAACTAAACAGAGCTTCACAAATGTAAAGGTGAGATCAGGTTTGTTTTCATCAATCTGTTCTCTTATCATCGTCTTTATCGGCTGATGTTTGCTCTTATCTCTTCTCTCTTTCACGTCTTCTTCCGCTCTGTTTCTTTTGTTGTTCTTTCTCTTAGTCTTTTTCTTTTTTTCTGGTTCTTTTCCTTATGCTTCTTCTTCTTCTTCTTCTTACAGCTGTCCCCTACGTCTATGTTTTCTAATCCTCCGTTATCTTTTCTTTCTTCTAAATATTCTTCTTTTCCTCTGTCTAGGCCATAATCATCCTCTCATTTACCAATTCCTCTTCTTCTTTGTCCTTAATATATATCGAGTATTATTAATTTTCTACCAAGTACCAGTAAACAGCGTTGGTTACCTCAATATTAGCTAATAACTACATAACTCTCTACTCTTTCTAATGTATAATCTACATGTAACCATTTTGTATATACCCTCGGGAATATTTTCAAGGAATAAATATTAAATCATCGTAAGGCTTTCATGTTATACCCAAATTAAATTTTTTTTTTTTTTGGGAAATCCTGAATTTGTCTTGAACATTTTTCTTGGTAATTTTTCTAGTTACGTAGCTTAGACGAGAGAGAGAGAGAGAGAGAGAGAGAGAGAGAGAGAGAGAGAGAGAGAGAGTAGGTGTGTGTGTGTGTGTGTGTGTGTGTGTGTGTGTCTGTTTGGTGAACAAGATAATACCATTGTGAGTGAGTGCGCTAGACATGTTCGCTGATTCAATTTTCGTCGCTGGGAGTTGTGCCAGAATTCAATAAAAGTTGAATTCTTGAGAGTAACTTGGGAGCGTCGGTCAATAGTACGGATGTCGTTAACTCCACCACTTCCCACTATCCCCACCACTACCACCCCCACCACCCACACCACCCCCACCAGTGCTTGTGGTCGGATTTCACGAACACGTCGGTAATGTGTAGTAACTTTTGAAGAAGTCCAAACACGAAGGTCCAAACACGAAGTTCCAAACACGAATGGCCAAACACAAAGGTACAAACACGAAGGTCCAAACACGAAGGTCCAAACACTAAAGTCCAAACACGAAGGTCCAAACACGAAGGTCCAACACTAAAGTCCAAACACGAAGGTCCAAACACTAAAGTCCAAACACGAAGGTCCAAACACGAAGGTCCAAACACTAAAGTCCAAACACGAAGGTCCAAACACGAAGGTCCAAACACGAAGGTCCAAACACAAAGGTACAAACACGAAGGTCCAAACACGAAGGTACAAACACTAAAGTCCAAACACGAAGGTCCAAACACGAAGGTCCAAACACTTTCCTGGTAACATACATCTTCAGGGACAATATAGTATTAATAAAAACAACACGCCATGCTTTTTTTTTACCTTGATGTACTGTATGAGTGTGTGATGAGATTAACCTGTGTATTACGTGATTTTTCTGAGTTGGTATTATAGAAGAAATGCAAAACAGACGATATATGTAGTGACTGCAGTTCTCTCACGCTCGATGTTATTGTTTATAACTGATGTAAGTAACAGGTGAATAATGTTGATGATTAAATAATTATATAAAAATACCTGTATATGACACCACAAAAACCTGGAAAAATTATCAACAAATTTGCACTGTTTTAAAGGATTGTATGGTATAATGTATCCACTACATGGTATAATGCTCCTATCCACTATATGGTATAATGCTCCTATCCACTATATGGTATAATGTTCCTATCCACTTTATCAGCAGAAGGTACACTGGTTAGACATACTCGTAGACTCTTGAAGTGTACATCTTTATAACCAGCGTCAGGTTGAGTGAGTGTCAGTCAGGGGTGTTTGATATATTTCTTGTTCTTTACATCATTATTTGTGATTATCTCTCTCTCTCTCTCTCTCTCTCTCTCTCTCTCTCTCTCTCTCTCTCTCTCTCTCTCTCTCTCTTTCTTCTTTACACTCTATCTCTCTCGTTCCTACCTTTCTCTCTCCCTCTCAAGTCCCTCCCTCCCTCTCTATTCCTTCTCCCTCCCTCCCTCTCTCGTCCTTCTCCCTCCCTCCCTTCCTCCTCCATTCTCTTCATACCACAAACATTTTCTTCACACCACAGCCCAGGGAGTACACCTTCTCTCCACACCACCACCACTACACAGCTCTGTCTCTAATAACACTCACCCGTGCAGCTTAAACTGGGCTGTCAGACTTAATAGTGTCCACCTTTCATCTCTGGTTGCTAAGGTTGACGCACCTCACCTTGGCTAGCGTGGTGCAGTCATGGTTAAAGCTTAATCAATTTCATCCAGGTAGTGTAGTGTAGTGTAGGGGGTCTGGTGTGCAGTGTAGTGTGGTGTAGTGTAGTGTGGGGGGTCTGGTATGTAGTGTGGTGTAGTGTAGTGTAGGGGGTCTGGTGTGCAGTGTGGTGTATGTGTGTGTGTGTGTGTGTGTGTGTGTGTGTGTGTGTGTAAACTTATACTTACATTTAACCAATTAGTGTTCGAACTTTCTTGGTGATGAGATACAAGCGTTAACACTGTACCTACAGGCAGCCAAGCATGTCTGTTCATACATACATACATACATACATACATACATACATACATACATACTTACATACATACATCCTTGTTCACCGGAGGGTCAAGACCTACCAGGCGCTGCGGCCCCCCTCGGCCATGTTCGGCCCCATATCCCCAAGTCCCTCTCCCCGACCCATCCTCACCACCGGGATATCAACATAATCAAAAGTGACAATTTCGTTTCGCAAAGAAGTGGGATCAGTGTTGAACATTGATGAACAGTGTTTAAGCCAGTGAATTGAGCACTAGACAGTAACAGTGAGAACAGTGACCCGCCAGTGAGATAAGCACCCCTGAGAACCATCCACTATCTTCTAACCAGACGGTATTCATCAGTCCTCTCTGGGAACAACAATGGGCTGGATGTACACCTGACTACGAGATAACACAACACCACCCAGCAGAGAGTGGGGTACTGTGACACTACCCCACACCACCCAGCGTTTCTATGACCACGTGAGGTCCTTCATATCAACACCCGAGGACGAGTTACTGCATCACGTGAACACCACACCACCCGGTGTCTCCATGACCACGGAGGTCCTTCACATCAACACCTACGGACGAGTCACTACACCACGTGGCCTACGTGACCTCACACAGTATGGCAAGAGACCAGCCCGGGCCATCAGCTGTAAACTATAATAATTTGTATTTTCAATTCATGTTCCTTCTCCTTTTAGTAATGAAAGCTTTTGTTAAACGACCCACCAACCCCATGGCTTTGTATGTAATATGTCATTTTTGTCTAACGTATATTTTCAGCCTTCTGGCTGCAGAACTTTCTCAATAAACTGTTAATTATTAGTATTATTATTTACATTAACTACGTTTTATGAGTTACACCAGACATTCATCTATTTCTCGGTCACCCGCTAAGGTACTTGTATCGACAACAGCACAGTACAGCACAGCAAAGTACAGTACGGTACAGCACAGTACAGCACAGCACAGTACTAACTCCTGTATTTCGTTCATGCAGACTACAAAAAAATTCTCTGGGCATTTACATTGCGAAGGAGGAAATATTGCTCCTGGTTACTTGATCAGGATGTAGTGTGTAGACTCTCGTCTTGCATGGGTGGGAGGGAGGGGGGGGGGCCTTAGCGAGGTCAGAGGTCATCACCGGCGAATGTGAGGTGAAAATCTGCGGTGAAAATGAAGGATAATTTCCTGTTTCCCTCAGAATGAAAATTTTAATTTTCACCCATCTGGCGTTATGGAAAGGTGTGTGACGTGGGATTATTTGGCGTCTGAAAGACGAAATGAATGATTAATCTATTATTCCCTTAATTAGAACACTGTAATTTTCGTCCATCAGCCTTGAGAGAGTTTTCTTTGTTTTGCAGGATGCCTTGAGGAGGGGTGATGACTTAAGACAGTTTCCTTGGTGTTGCAGGATGCCTGGAGGAGGGGTGATGACCTAACACAGTTTCCTTGGTGTTGCAGGATGCCTGGAGGAGGGGTGATGACCTAACACAGTTTCCTTGGTGTTGCAGGATGCCTGGAGGAGGGGTGATGACTTAAGACAGTTTCCTTGGTGTTGCAGGATGCCTGGAGGAGGGGTGATGACCTAACACAGTTTCCTTGGTGTTGCAGGATGCCTGGAGGAGGGTGATGACTTAAGACAGTTTCCTTGGTGTTGCAGGATGCAGGAGGAGGATGCCTGGAGGAGGGGTGATGACTAACAGTTTTTTTGGTGTTGCAGGATGCCTGGAGGAGGGGTGATGACTTAAGACAGTTTCCTTGGTGTTGCAGGATGCCTGGAGGAGGGGTGATGACTTAAGACGTTTCCTTGGTGTTGCAGGATGCCTGGAGGAGGGGTGATGACTTAAGACGTTTCCTTGGTGTTGCAGGATGCCTGGAGGAAGGGTGGTGACTTAAGACAGTTTCCTTGGTGTTGCAGGATGCCTGGAGGAGGGGTGATGACTTAAGACAGTTTCCTTGGTGTTGCAGGATGCCTGGAGGAGGGGTGATGACTTAAGACAGTTTCCTTGGTGTTGCAGGATGCCTGGAGGAGGTGATGACTTAAGACGTTTCCTTGGTGTTGCAGGATGCCTGGAGGAGGGGTGGTGACTTAAGACGTTTCCTTGGTGTTGCAGGATGCCTGGAGGAGGGGTGATGACTTAAGACGTTTCCTTGGTGTTGCAGGATGCCTGGAGGAGGGGTGATGACTTAAGACAGTTTCCTTGGTGTTGCAGGATGCCTGGAGGAGGGGTGATGACTTAAGACAGTTTCCTTGGTGTTGCAGGATGCCTGGAGGAGGGAGTGGTGGCCGACGCCGCCGTCGGAAGAGAGCCACAGGAACAGCCTCACTTCCTACATGATCGCCTCACCCTTAACGTGTCCGTCCAGCTCGCCTCCACCGCCTACCTCCACTGTCAAGTGACCGGCCTCAAGGATCAGTCGGTAAGTGTCACATCACAGCCTCAGGGATCAGGAGGTAAGTGTCACATCACAGCCTCAGGGATCAGGAAGTAAGTGTCACATCACAGCCTCAGGGATCAGTAGGTAAGTGTCACATCACAGCCTCAGGGATCAGTAGGTAAGTGTCACATCACAGCCTCAGGGATCAGGAGGTAAGTGTCACATCACAGCCTCAGGGATCAGTCGGTAAGTGTCACATCACAGCCTCAGGGATCAGTCGGTAAGTGTCACATCACAGCCTCAGGGATCAGGAGGTAAGTGTCACATCACAGCCTCAGGGATCAGTCGGTAAGTGTCACATCATAGCCTCAAAGATCAGGAAGTAAGTGTCACATCACAGCCTCAGGGATCAGGAGGTAAGTGTCACATCACAACCAATAAAAAAAAACAATAAAAAAAATCACTCAACGTGTCACAAATATTAAGTTCACTCGTAAATAAAACCTTTATTGTTATCCTATGATGCCTGGTGCAACAGTTATGGCGTTGGTTTTATTTTCAACTATGACAGAGAGCGACCATCTTTGATTTACCTCCTAGCGGGAAAAAAATATAAGTTGCTTTATGTGTGTCGATATTTTTCCTGCCTCAATATCAATAGTCCAGAGTTAAGAGTCTCCTCACGTACCAGTAATAGACTCATTATGGAAAGCGTTGTTTGTTAATGAAGATCAAAACGAAGGGCGTCATAAACTTCTTCATTATTTATAGTTTCCAGGCAGCTACTACATAATAACACAGTCCATAAAAAATATCCATATGTCCGTCAGAATAATTCAATCAGAGTAAATTACATATGAATACATTATGATTAACAGAATGTTTTATCCCCAGTTGAGTTTCCGAAGACTTTTGCATATATTTCAACTCATCAAAAACCAGTTGTCAAAAAGTGTTATATTAATTTGGTTTGACCATTGTCTGTGTCAACTCACCCGTGACTCCTAGCTGAGAGACTCATTTGGTTAGGTTAGGTTAGGTTACAATGTCCTTACTTCTTAAAAAACATCTTGAGATAGTCTAGGTTTTTCTTAAGAATCTTGATATAAAAAAATTAAGGTCATCTGGGGACTCATTGGTCAGGTCGGTGAGCAGCGGCCATGACCTCAAGTGGACACATATTAGGATAAGGTCCCTGGTTAATATGTGAGACGTCTGAGGTCATAAAATATTTTAAGTGAGATAATAATAATAATAATAATAATAATAATACATGAAAAATATGAGAAACTTTCTAATATCTGGTATAATACTTAATATACAGTGTGAATATTGTGACAATATTTCTAACAGAGGCTGTGACACTCTCGCCTCACCCACTAATCAACTTTCTCTTCACCATTAAAAAAATAAGAAGAAAAAAATTCACGAGCATATGTCACTGTTGACGTCAGCAGGGGGTCGCTGGGTCGGGTCGTAAACTGAATAAATGTTTGTTAACGAAATTACGAAACTTTTACCTGGTTTTTCAACACTACAAATATATACATATATTATATCACACCAGAATATAGATATTACATGTACTACAATATATATTTTGTCATATTATATCTTTATGAAAATTGAACACTTTGTTTACTGAAGACAGTGACGTAAACAGTGATGTTTGTAAAGGCGGAAAAGTTGTTGACAGTTATCCGGCACCTTCACAACGGCTCACGAGCAAACATTATCGTTTGGAACTAAAAAAATTACTGGTTCTGGTGTGTTCCTCCGAGGATGAAATCTGCTCATCTCGATTCATTCTGTGATTTCACGTGGTTTTAAGCGAACTCGGCCGACTCCTTGATATGAGCTGTGAGGAGCCGGCGAGCCTCCTAGCAGTAATTATAGCAGCTCCTCGAATATTAACAAGGCTTGGAATTAAATGCTAATTCAAGGGTCTCGAGATTACTTTCTCTCTCACTCACGTACACCAGGGCACGCGTTGCCACGCACAGTTGTGTATGTATGTATGTATGTATGTGTGTATGTGTGTGTGTATGTGTGTATGTAGGTATATATTATGTAGGATGGCGTGAATTCAATACTTTCGCTCCACTTGTTCCTCAACTCAGGCCTCAGTAACCTCCTTCAGGTCTTCGTCATTATGAAGGCATTACCCTCGGAGGTTAGACTAGAGGCTTGGAGACAGATAACAGTCCCTCGGTGTGGGTCGGTGAATTGCTTGAAGCCAAAGTCGTGAATAACCGTCTGCAACACGATACAAGATTTGATGTCGGGCAGAGAGCCTGGTTCCGCACCTCTTGTTAGATCTCTCCGCCATTTGTCCTATATAGCACTGGGCTGTTTTCACCTTAAGCCAACTTGGTAGTCAATGTGATCGTTGTTTTATGTAACAGGCAGACGAACACCAGAATCCTTTTAACATTCAAGAAAATCATGATCAAGACCTTGGCAGCAGAAGGATGGCGTCTTATGGTCGGGAATTCTGATGCTTCAAATGCATAGATTCCATTTTTAACTCGAAGCCCCAATTTTGAATTCAGGTCTCATCTCCAGCCACCAGGCAGGAAACAAAGTTGGCTGGATCGGCTTCATACAGTCCAGGGAACTCGGGCCTTGAGATCATCGTCTGGGGTCGATATTGAGCGTTGAGTTTGGGGGAACTTAAATCATTCCCATTGTTCCTGGATGATGGTCACAACACGTTCATGGGAATTGTCAACTTCGGTCTTTATATCAACCAAATGGACAAACTGATCCGACACATTCAAGTTCTCGATGTGGGCTACAGTTGGTGTGTGTGTGTGTGTGTGTGTGTGTATATGTGTGTGTGTGTGTGTGTGTGTGTGTGTGTGTGTGTGTAAATCCCTTCCAATCAACAGAAACAAACGCGATCTTACTTCTGGATCCTCTCATTCGCGCCAAGGCTGCCGTGATTAGACCCCTTCGCCCTGCCCAGTGTGGGGCTTCATGAGGGGACTACGACGATTTAACAAGAGTGCAGTAGAGGAGTTGACATGGTGCCCCGTGAACCATTATTGCCACATCATCTACCACATCATCTGCCATATCATCTACCATACTATCTACCATATCATCTGTCACATCATCTGCCACATCATCTGCCACATCATCTGCCACATCATCTGCCACATCAACTGCCACAACCGAAGGAGCTGAGCCACAATAAACAAACTAAGATTGTCAAGGTTCTGTTTTAAAAAGGTGGAACTTCAATGAGTTTTCTTAATAAACTTCGTAGTCACATTTGAGATAATGGAAGGAAAACTTTGATATAAATGTTATGTGATATTTCCCGCTGCTTGCCAGAGCCTGAGTATAGCGGCCTAGAGAAGGAATGTCTCACCTGAGGAGTTAGAGGGAGTCTTCTATTTCTAATATGTACTGTAACCTGTAAGTAAATAAAACAAGCAAAACAAATGCAACAAAAAATAGATTAAAAACAAGGATGTTGTAGGCGACGGAAAATATCGACTCACAGTTCAGGTAAAATGATTCAGGTAAAACAATTTTTTGGTGAAAGATCCTGAGTCTCTTCCTTGAGGCGACGATCTCCCCAGCACAGCCAACAAGAGGATGGATGATTGTATTGATGGATGGATGGATGATTGTATTGATGTTTGGATGGATGATTGTATTGATGTTTGGATGGATAACACTATATTGCGTTACACACCGCAGGCTCTTCACAGTAGTCAGGTTTTTCTATGTTTTTCAAATATATGTTTGAACTTTAAAGTGTTCTGTTGTTTTAGTAAATACAGACTGTGTGTATTTTTTCCACAGAAATTACAAAATTGTTATATTTCTTGTATTTATTTTTCTATCCTGTTCTATCACTCACTCACTCACACACACACACACACACACACACACACACACACACACACACACACACACACACACACACACACACACACATATCTCTTGAAAACAATACAAATTTCGACGTTGAGCCTCCAATGGAATCATAATTTTCGTTTAATATGATAATACTTCGTCGTGCCCCTGGCTGAACACTGTGTCTTATGGTGGTCTCTTGTGTGTGTGTGTGGTTGACGGTCTCTGGAGGTTGGTTGTGTATGTGTTGGTTGATGATCTTTACCCGTAGCTGACAATGGTTGAAGATATGTTTGTGGTTGACGATGGTTGACTGTATTAAAGATAATCCGTATATAGGTCGCTTCACTTCAGAGAGAGAGAGAGAGAGAGAGAGAGAGAGAGAGAGAGAGAGAGAGAGAGAATTAAAAATATCTCTCAGTCTTCCATCTCTCCATCACACCCTCTGACCTCCACCCGGTAACGCCCCCCTTCCACCATATTAACTTCAGAGTCTCAGTAAATCGTAAATGAAGCTAAAAAATATATCTTAACTTGTTGGCTTAAGCTAAGACACACACACACACACAAAATTACGTTTAAAATGATCTCCATTACACAGGGACTCTACTTTACTGGACGTTCGTTTGCTGCCAGTCAGGGTACATCACTTTATAATCTTTCTCGTGATCTGCTAATTCTTGTCGTCTAAGTTGTGTTAATTAATGAAAACTGTGGTTAAGGTTAAGTGAATTGTAGTTTTAATGTTATGGTGGAGACCTTCCCTTGATGACTTGAGCAAGACAGCAGCCACGGGTGTAGGAGTTAGGACTCTGCAGGAGCTCCTAACAGTAGTGTGGTGGAGACTCATCTGTCGAAGAGCCTGCCTTCCCGGCACAACCTCGGCCTTAAAACTCCACAAATCAAATTGACGTTTCCCCCCCACGGACAATAAAGGGTTGGAGGTATGCGAGTCATCAGGCAGACCGGGTCGGCTATCTTGGATGGATTTCAGGATCACCCATTCAGCTGCAGCCACTACCTGCTCTTCTACGTCTCCTGTTGAAGCTAAGTGCTTTTTCCTTTACATTGATTGCGCTATAAAGCCGTTGGACTCGTGCCACGCATTCCTAAACGTTATTGTCAATACACGAGCTTTTGTCTTTGTTGTTTCACGTCGTAGGTATGTTTAC